ATCTTACTTAGTCTCTCTTATGCCTTACGTTAAGCTGCAACGTCATTGTCCTACTTTAAACTCTGATAACAAAATCCAGTAATTATTCACATTCTTCAATTATTTAGTGATCAGAAGAAGCAAATTTGCATCATTCCAAACACGTGACATTGTTTCATGTAGTTAATGACAAGAATATCCACATGAACACCCCACTGTTATCCATTATTTGTTGTTGAGATGCAACATCTGAAATTATCACCTGCTTTGACTCTTGAAGACAATTATTGTAGTCATCGCTGTCCAAAAGAACCCACAAGGCTTCAGTGGTCATATCTCTGGTATGTGGCAGATATGAAAAAACATACTTTGAGAGATTACAGGGTACAAAGAACACTGAGCTCCAAGATATGCAAAATATCTCATGGTTGCATTTGTACTTAAGTCATGTTCTCTTATTTTGGAACAGAAGCATTGTTAAACACGTAACCATTTTACAGACACGAAGCAACCAGTTCCTGTTTGACCTCATATTGCAATCTATCTGCAAGTCCAAAATCTTTCACTGAAGACCTAAAATGAGACTGCTTGCATGATCAGATGCAGGGTCAGTGTGGTCCAGACCCTGCAGGTTTTCTGTGCTGAAAAATAAATTGACCATTCACCATACATCTTGACAAAATAATCCTGTAATACACTTCCTCAAATAGTGTTTGTTAAAATTAAACACTATTTAAATAAACAACACATATATGAAATGGATCTAAAACTAATCTACTGAGGAATATTATGTATGTTTAAATACTGACAATCTTTTTTACACTTTGTATTTTGTGAAACTGCAGCCAAACATGTCAGTAACTGAATTTATCAGCCAGGATTCAGCATGTTTTCCATTAAATTTTTCCATTAAAATGTTTTTTTTTCTTTGTTTTTTAATCAAATAATATCTAATTATTTTTGCAAATTGCTGGTGCTTGGTCAAATAGATTTTTTTATAAATAAGGCGTCAAGAGATGTTGCTGGTATTGATTTAAACACAACCTTAATTAAACCATGATTTAAAAACACCACCTTAACGTTAGACAAAACAGGATACTGAAATATGCAAACATCGTCTGCATAACACCATGGGGTGTTAGAGGGGAATGTTGGAAGCAGCAGAAATCTGCCCCATATTTACCCAACGCCCACATCTGAATTCCTGTTCAGTGTTTGAATGTTTGCCACCTGGTAGAGGGGATAAGTTTCCTGCGTCACCGTCTGTCTGGATGTTGGTGTGACACTGATGAACAAAGCGTTTATCCTACATGTGTCACATTCAGCAAATCCACACAAAATACTTATTCAGTTATTTCTACATGTTTACCTTCCTCTGCCTCTCAATAGTTCTCATTTACCCACAAACATTTAATAACCCACAACACCACACACATAAACACACCATTGGGACAAATACTTCCAGTCAAATGTGTTAACCATGAACTGGAATAACTTCTAATGGCTTGGCAGGGGACCAAGTCTTTTTTGGAAACATTAACACCTTAGCTTAAGAACCAGAGAATGCCATCAGAACTTGTTTTCTGGTATTTACAACTTTCCATTTCTCAGTGTGGGGTTGTTTCCAGTCATTCACTTTAGCATATGAGAAATTAGGTACTTAAATTTATTTATGCTAAGTTAATGCTCAGCCAAAAAGCAATAAATCTTTACTCAGTGCATGAAATCTTATATTAAAACATTATAATACTGGTCAAAGTGAGGTCTGTCTCTTGCAAATACTATTCAATTGGTGTCCAGATGAATAGTCACAGACATGCTCATCTTTGAGCTTAAAACCTATATTAGGACTGAGCAACATATTGAAAATCCATCCTAATCACGATATCACAGCAGCCAACATTCATGTGGCAAAGAACTGCTTGAACAGCAATAAATGTTACCTAGATGTTTAAGGCTCTGTGTGTTGCTCATTTATTTGGTGACACTTGCTTAATGCAGCACACAAAGTTTTAGAGAACAAAGAGGTGGTAAGGTAGAAAAGTCATCAAAAAGAAACTATAATTTAGTTTGCCAATACAGCAAAGGTCAGCCAGAACCAACTTTTACAATAAAACCTTTGATTTTTACTGAGATGGAAATAGTGGATTTTATGTTCCCTAGTAACTGGAGTTTCTGCTTCCATAGAACATGAAGACATGCTGAGAGGTAATTCAGCCATTTGACTCAGGAGTGACAGACTACATGTTGCTAAAAGCTACAACACATTGGCTCTTGAGGACTGGAGTTTGAGACCCCTGTCTTCTAGTAGGAGAGAAAACAAAAAGAAACATCCTAAGAACAAGCATAAAAATGTACATTTAAATTGGTCCAACCTCGACTGAATTATTATACACTCTGTGTCTTTAAAACAGAGAGTATGTTTTATAAAAAAGTGCATAAACCAAGAAACTGATTCCTTTTTTTACCTAAAATATTATCAGTCATTTCATCTCATTAGGTGGGTATATCTTCAAACCCCTAAATAAAACATAGACCCAGTTGTAAGTAATTTCTTATCAAAATCAGCAAACTGAAGCACTGGACAACAGGAAAAAAACCCAAACAATGATCTCAATGCATGGCTATTAACACAAATAATGCATTTTAAGACATCTTCACTTTTTCCGACTGCTAAACATATTTTCCAAAAGCAAACTAAAGTTTAAGCTGTTATTATGTCACATGGTCAATGAATTGATGTGTAATGGCTGGTACAGAGGCTGTTGTAGCGGTATCCAGGGATTTGGTTGCAAATACTATGCGTATATTTAAGCCTCTTACATTACACATTTTGTTAGATATGCTTCCTTTTCAACAGCTGCTTCCTTGTCTAACTTTCAATCCAAGATTTTGGAATTACCCAAACATCCTCCATTCATTCCTGCAAGTAGCTCTTCCATGTCAGCTATGGGTTTTTATTGTGTATATCTCCTCTGTAACAATCTGTGAAGTGTAACCTGTAATTAACTGTAATGTTGCCAAGAAGACAAGGTTTTGCAACACCTGCTGCATCAGAAGGAATGCAGTGAATGTCATGCTTTTTACTTTGGGAATCATGCAAGAACGAGCAAATTTAACTGGTGAGAAATTAAGTGATTTATTGCATTGAAACCAAAGCCTATCTAAGATGCCCTGAGGCTGCACTGAGAAAGATCTTCACTTTACAAATATTTTTCAAAGATTGGAAGCTTTATACCAACAGAAACCCACTTCAACAGTTCCCAAAGTCAACATTTCATGAAATAGACACTTTGTTTATAACTTTGATTTTGGGATGTCAAATTCAGTTAACTTTCACTGTGATTTAAGAGAACTGAATTCACCAAGTCTGCAAGCGAGTCCCACTGTTGTGAGAATGATGGACCCACAAACCTGATGGTTTACATTTGTCAAGACTTTTGCACATGCTGTTTGACTCGAACCAGCTACATTGTGGCATCAAACCTTTTTTTCCTCCTTTTGGTGCAAATGGAACTGAGCACTTGAACTGACCCAGAGGGTCTCCTGCTTGTCCTTTCAAAGTTGTTAATCTATGCTTGTAGATTTAAAAATTACACCTCTAGTTTGAAATGCTTGCACCCTGCAGTTACATGGAAGGTTAGGGGCTGGTGATCCAGCTGAGGACAACACCTGGAATCCCTCAGCAGCACGAATAAGCACTGATGAAAAACAAATGTCAGCCCCCCCCCCCCCTTCTTCTCACTTACTCTGTCCCTCCTGTAAGCCCTGCAGCACCAGGCTGTGTTTTCCCTGGCTAAGATGAACTAATGGCTACTGCCAGATCCACTGCAAGCACCGTGACTCTTGACCTAAATTGTGAGGGTCAGGGAAGTTCACGAGGCTTTGAAAGTACAGCTTCATCTACTTTTGTCAATGTTTCAAACAATGATGAATTAACATAATTATGTGGTCTTACAAGATAAGGATTCAAGCACAGTTTGAAAGGGTCATTTCATGTGGAGTCACTCATCCAGGTAGCAAAACTAACATTAACCATGAGATGGTTACTAGTTTCAAGGCATACCATGATTTCAAAAAGTTCATTTTAAAACTGCTACAATTTTAAGTGACACATTTTGGACATTTTTTTTTATTATTTTCACAAGTGAAATAATATCATAAATCACAAACTATGTTTAAAAGAATCAGTATTGAGTCTGGCATAATTTTATCTGTGCTGGCTAGTAAATATTGTGCATTCATACAAAAAAGCATTTCAAATGCTTGGCTAAAATATTATAAATCTCAAATTGTACTTTAGAGACTCACAGCTAACAGCTGGACAATCCCTTCAGCAGTACTTCTTATTTCTTGTTTGACCTGCACTCATGGCATCCCCTACACTATACCGCCCTGTGTGATGAGCCAGGTCTACCGCATCAAAAACTTCAAATGAGTGTGATGTGTGTGTGTGTATCTAAATAAACCTCTAGAAAAAATATTTTGAATAATAAAATGTAATGATGATAACAGTCTTTCCTCTCTTCCACCTGCGCACTGCCTGTGAAGTAAAGCTACCAATTCAGTATTTTTAAAGCACTAATTTACAAAAAGTATCTTATTAATAAACTTTACATTTTGATCTGCAATTGCTACCTGCAGTTGTTTCATCATAAGCCATGTCCCCATTATGCTTTTTTTTAATTCGCCAACGCTAATTAAGTACTATTCCCCTACGCTAAAAAAATATTACTTAGATTATTATCCCTTTTCTGTTTAGACTGCAGACTGAGAACAAATGATCGCTCACAGTGACTTCACTGGCAAATCACCTGCCAGAAAATAGACAGCACCATCTTTCAGTTATGAACTCACAGCTTTCTAAAGACTAATAAAACTTTGAAAACTTTTATCCAATCAATAATATTGCTTACAATCCCAATATATCTGCATATCAAACGTATGGGGTCAACGCGGCTGTGCGTCTTCCCCTTTTGTTCACAATTCAATGAATGGAAGCAGGAAAAGTCGCTACGTACCCTGGAGATGGTTAACGGTGTGCTAAAATCCCGTCCTCCCACCAGGCGAAAACCCCATGGAGAGGGTCCCTTCAGTGTCACCGTGAAGGACATGTTTGGTATCGAGACTTTCAAAATTTCAGATGATAGAAGGAGGAGAGGGGAAAGTCCGGTAAAAAAGCGAACGTGAAGTGGTCAGAGTCCTCCCGCAGCTGCTAGGCAACGCCGTCCTGGCTCTGAAAACTTTGCTGCTCCGCTCCTGATTCAAGTTTAAGTAAAGAACCGCCTCTGACGTCGCTGGACGGGCTGGCCCGCCCGCCTTCACCCGGACTGAAAGCGTGAGAGTGGGAGGAGACCCACCGGACTCTTATCCTACCAGTCTTAATTAAGTATAGGACAATAAAAACATTTTTCCCCTCTCTATCATATTTGATTATAATACCGACATGCAATTAAAACTACTTTTGTATAAACATAAGAATTACCTGTTTGTTTTATCCTCTCAGTTTTTTTTTTTTTTTTACATATTGGTCCTGTTTTAGGTAGCCTGGTGTTGCAAAAATTAGCAATGCATCCGTTATTCTACTTTATATTTTTATATTTTATTTATTTTTTGTGGATCTTCACATTGCTGCTGGTCTTTCTGAATTTTCTCACTGTGAAGTTATTTCTACTCTAGTTATTTTGAGAGAGCGAAAGAGATTTTTGATTATTTTCCAAAAGGTAAGCGTTTGACCAACATGACAGTCATTACATTTTCTGGAAAAAGGGGGAAACTTGCATCATCAGGTTGTTTGGGGGTTTTGCTGTGGAGCAGAGTGGTGCAGGCTGCAGGGCTGTGCTGCTGTAAACACCGCTGCCTTGCAGCAAAAAGCTCCTGCAGTTCTTGGGTCCTGGAGTTTACATAATCTCCTCTGGCATGCAGGGTTCTCTCCAGGCTCTCCTGCTCACTTCAGGAGTCCAAAAATATTTACTTGCGCTTAATTAGGCTCTCCATATAGCCTTTAGGAATGATCATATGTGTGAATAATTGTTTGTCCTGTGTGTATCTTGTGTTGACGAATTGGCAATGGATGGATGGATGGATGGATGGGTGATTTGTGCACGTCATAAAATGAGGGCATACAAAGGAAAGAACATTTTGAGGAAGTTAAAGTTAAATGAGTCTTTCAAATGGCTGCTGAGTCTTACAAATGCAGACAAATTAGTTAAGATGTGGTTTAAGAACACAGACAATGTTTTAATCTATCATATTTTTTTCTATTCATCAGCCAAACTGCTTTGTTTTAGATCTAAAGTTCAGTTCTGTTTGAAGAATAAGGTAGCTTTATTGATTTTTTTTTTATCAACAAGTTTGATTAAAATGGTGACTCTATTAATATCCTCAGAGCTGACCATCATGACTTTAGACTTCCAGTAAATGGAAGATGAGATAATTCAGTCATCCCTGTGTCTGATCAAAACTTTCTGGCATCAGATTCAAAGCCTCTTCATCCACAGGAATGTCTCCTTTAGTAAAAGTGGTGGTCTAGCAGGTGATTGTTTCTTTGCTGTTGTCCTGGATATCGTTGGGTTCAACTTGGCCATCCACATAAATAACGCTGACACTTAGATGGACAAGAAGTTCTTGGATACGTTTACTGTGTGGTACTCTATCAAATGAGTGCTGTCAAACAAACTGTCAGGCTGGCGCATAAAAGCTTCCAGCTGCAGTCAATTAAGACCACAAGCTGAACGTTGAGATGTCTTGGCAAGCTAATGGAGGCATTTTGGAACGCCACCAAATTAATATTCTGAGTGCATATGATGATGTTGGTAATTTTGAGTATTAAGTTAACTTCAGAAAACAATGAACTAATATTTAGCAATATTTAGTCTTGGAGTGCTTTTGTTTTTCATTGAAGTGCATAGCACAGTTTTGTCATTGACATTCATGCCCACAAATATTTAACAGACTATCTGCAATATGATGGAAATATTCTAACCTTTCAGGCAACAATCTGGTTTTTTAAACCTAAATCCAGCACATTATTCACTGACCAGGGCCTTAAGTTTAAAGCCATGATGAATAAGAGAGAGAAATGATCACGTATTAGTTTCTGTAATATGGATTCCCAGTAGCAGAGGATGCCTCTCCCATTTTGTTAGTGGTTATCCTATTATCCTCACTGCCTGATTCCTTTATTTGATCCAGCCAGTTGCAGAGTGAGTCAGTGGGTTTGAGCAGATTTCTTTTTCTTTTTTTCTCTAATGCAGTTTGAATGACCTCATAGGCATTACCCCAGTGTGTGACCTTTAGTAGACGGCACACATGTGGAGTCCTGTCTTGATATCTGAGTCAGGTTGAGTCAGACACTCACCAGCAAATACATCTGTAAAGTTAACAGGGTGTGCTTCCATTTAAGCTGGACGTCAACATTAGGTGAATCAGCACTGAATTAATGCCAGCCTCTCAATCCACAATGAGCAGCTAATGAGAAATTTACAGAGCACACTGCGTAATGAAAGTCACTCAGGTGAAGCAGGATTCAAGCAACATAAACTATATATGCTGACATTTCTCTCTAGTCAAACTGTAGACTGTACAGTTTTATACAGCAGAACAAAAAGTAGCTCATGTTTCACAATGAGCAGATTTGCTTTTAAAGTAGAAAATGATCTGAAGAGGTGCAGCAGCTCCGACAGAACTCTGACTTGTTTTCTAACTGTTTTGCTTTGTGTTTAGACAGATATAACTTCCAAAAAGTTTTACTCCATTCACTTAATGGAAACATGCCAATTTAAAAAAAAAAAAGTTTTTTTTTATAAAAAGTTTTTGTGCTAGGATGAGGTGGTTTTCATTCATTTGGAAATAGATGAATTTTGCAGAACAGGGATAGAAACACTTTTTTCACATCACATGAGCAACTTAATCAACGTAATCTGTACTGGCAAAAACCAGGAAGAAGACAGGAAGTACTTTTTTAATGACTACTTCCTGTGAACACACTTGTTCAGGCATGATTTTAATTTCATTTCTTATTCAATGGAAAAACCGCAGTTGCAAAATTGTGTTTTTCTGACATTAGCAGAATACAGACAGATCTGCACACATCTGTAATGGAAATGTTCTTGAGCTAATTAAAGCACCATGAGGTTTGGAGATCTGTTGATTTTTACTCTAGAGAAAGTTGTTGACCTGTTTACATCATGCATCTCAACATCTGCTGATCTGCTCTGTCACTTTACATAGTGCTGTCATTCATTTCTTTTTGTTATGATGTGACTAACAGTTTGTGTAATATCCTCTCACAGTACGATGCTGAAACTCATTGACCTCCTAAGAGGAAGACTCTGTTTCTCAAAGATCTGTAGAAACAGTCTGCAGGTGTAGAAACTTAACTTTGTACACTAATCCTTTTGGAATATCCAATCATCCAAAGAGAGAAATCTTGTCATGTTCCTTTGGATTTTGAGTTTCATTTAAGCAAAGCAAAAGTAGTAAAAACAATATGTGCACAATTTTTACAGGCCTGTAAATAAAGCAGTTACATCACCAGAGATTGTCCTCAGACTGTTTTGAACAGACGGCTCATCTGCTTGCAGCCCTGGCTTCATCAAAGGATGAGTAACCATAGAAGAAGAAAGCCTTTGAGGACAGCTGTCTGTGTTGAAGATTTATTGGGAACTTCAACATCTTCTTCAAAAGCCTGTTTGCAGTAAATCTAGTTGAACCTCTCCTTTTTCTGTTCTGTTCTCTTTTTCTTGATGATCATAATTTAGCGGACCTTCATAGAAACTCAGGTCCTTTTAATGCACGGCAAATCTACTTAGTCTGGTTTTACCTCTGTGTTGCATAGACTTGAAGAATGCGAGAGGAAGCAGGTAAGACACAATGTAATCATGAGCTGTCTGTCTGGGTTTGTTTTCCTTGTTGGAAAGAATTATGTCATCCTTTCAGTTGCACAAATCCTGGCATCAAACCAGCCAGAAAAGTTTATATTTTGTTTAATACAGTCATGTATAAAACAAAATCAAATTAATTAATTTCTAATGACATTGTTTTAACATTTTTATTCAACCAAACAGGCAAATACAGAAGTTTTGTAAATAATACAGTACTAAAAATTATGTGAAACAAAAACAATGTTTTTTCTTAAAAACTTACATGTTTGTAAACAATCAGAGCTCTAATTATTACCAGGTTGAAATTATTGTAATTTTGAACCACAATTAAAGATTGCTTTTATTATTTTTTATTAATATTTTATTATTTTTCACTCTGTCCGTGTAAGTCAGTTCTTTTGGCTCAGTTTCTCCTTTCTCATAAACATATGATTCCAGCAGGATACAGCTGTTTTCTAGATAAAAATATGTCCACAGTGCCCACTGCCAAACGCAAGGCAGACATAAGCTGTGCTTCTGACAAGCTGTCAAGGAAATCTGAAACAACTTTTTTAATGACACAAATGTTCCTCAACTGGAAATCATTCCAAAAATAGTTCTAACTACCACTACAGATGTTAAAACCACAAATGGCTTTTAATTTTTAACTGATATTTTAAGGGATTGAAAAAATGTGGCTGTCATGATTTTTGGGGCTTTGGTTTTGTCTTAAGGTTTAGCTTGGGGTTTATTTTCTGCTCCCTCTTCTCCTGTGTTTTCTATCAGACATTTCTTCCATTTCCTCACTTCAGTTTCAGTGACTTGCCTTCCCTCACAGCTGCACCCAGTTTCTAATCAACCTCCTGCTCCTTGTTCAGTAATCATCTCTCCATCCTGCCTCCTGATGGACCAGTTCATTGTTTAACAACCTACTCTCTGCCTCCTCTCTGTATTCAGGACCTGTTCTTCTCCAATGTGATATTTTATGAAGAGTTTAGCTATTAAAATATGAAATGGCTGGTGTTTATCCTCATTTTACGTTTGTATACAATTTCCAAATCGCTTAAGCTCAGACATTTTGGGTGGAGAGGAACTGTTAACACATTTTTTCCTAGTTTTGCCCCAAATTTTCAGTTATATTCCTCTGGACTTTGACTGGACCATTGTGCCATCTCTGTTTAACCAGGAGAATGTTGTGATGTCTATTGTTAGTTTCTTAGCATGAAGTATTTTGAATATAGACCAAAAATTAAAATTTTACTCTTAATTGTTTGTTCTGTTTCCCACTTGTGGAAAGCTGAAAATTAAACTTTGTCTTTTTTGTTGCTTGTTTTTACAAGAACTGGTTTCTGTTAGTCATTCTTACACAAAGGACACTGATGGAAGAAAGTTTTCTCAATAAAACTCTCATTATTGC